GTATTACATCTTGTAACATGAATTGCTCCATTAGTACCAGAAACAATAAATCCACACCGATGAACATGACTTTATTTAAACCTATGATATAAACATTTTCTATACGTACTTTATTTTAAGATTGTGATATTATAATTAAGCTAAATACTATTAAAAAAACTTTTGAATTAATGTTTAATATAATATTATTCATTGATGTTCAGATAAAATTAATATTTATAGATATTTTTTTTATTTATATTGTAAAAATAATATATTAATAAATAAAAATATTATTTAATAATATATATATAAAATAAAATAAAAATTAATGGTATTATGTTTTTAATAAAAGCTCATCTTTTTTATTTAATTTGTATTATAATAATTAAAATATAATTACTTTAATAATATGTTTAAAAATTATTATATTTTATTTTTATTTTTTACTATATGTTCTATTGGTTATATTTTATTTTTATAACTATTTTAAATTCACAAATTGTTTTCTATTTTGACAAAAATAATATATTAAAATAATAATACATTATTATTAATATTATATAAATATAAAATTTTAAAGTTCGTCATAAAAATATAATTTTATTAATTTAAATAAATAATAATTTTTAAAAAAATAAAAATATTAAAAGATTTATTAAGTTAAAAATAAATAATTATATTTATTATATTAAATAAATACTAATATTATATAAATAAAAATAATACAAAATATGAATAGAGATAATCAATAAAAAAACAAAGAGAATATATGTTATAGCACTATAGAATTTTAATATATGTTTAACTGTACATATACTGTATATAGTAATATATCAAATATTAAGTTACAAAAGTCATGTTTTAACATTTTAAAAATTTTATCAGCCTAAAAAAGATTTTTTTTAAATATTTAAAATTCAAAAAAAAAGAAAAGATTTCTAAAAATAAGGAGTAAAAATAAAATAATAAAATTAAAAATAAATAAAACAAAAACAAAAATATATGTAATTTTTTTAAAAAAATAATAAAAATCAAATTAAAATTTAATGTATTGAGTGTTATTAAATTTAAATAAATTGTTTGACAACAACATTATATATCAATTAAATTACAAAATAATAGAAAAATTATTAAAAATCTAACTTAATAAATTTAAATTATAAAATATAAAATTTTAAATAATTACAAATATATATATAATATATAAATATTATATTATATTTTTTATGTATTTTTTATATTTTTTTTTTTATATATAAAATATATTATATTTTTATTAAAATAAAAAATATCTTCGTAATCCTTCTAAAACTTTAATAGAAGTTTTTTTTATTTTATTTTTTTTATTTTTTTGGAATCTTCATTTTATAAAAATTAATATATACACTTTTTTATTTTAAATTAGATATAAATATAATTAAATTAAATTTAATTTAATAAAATTAAATTAAATAAAATTAGATTAAATAAATTATTTAAATAAATCTAAAATTAATTTTTAATATTTATTAATATAATTAATTTAATTACAATAAATATAATATTTTTTATTAAAATTTTTAATAATATATTAACTTTTGTTTTTAAATAAAAAATTAAAACAAATAAATAATTAATAAAAAAAAAACAAAAATATATATAAATAAAAATATTAATATTATCTTAGAAGATAAAATATATAATATTTCATAGTAAAAATAATATATTTAGGTTATAAAAATTTATTAAAATAATAAATAACAAAAACTATCCAAATATAATAATTTTAGTATCTTTTATTATACATATTCATTATATAATTTTCTAAATTTAAAATACTAAATAAATTTATGTTTATAGAAAATAATATAAAATATATATAGCATTTCAATATGTCATTATTGATTATTTTATAAATACTTTCTATCAAAATGATTAATAAATTAATAGTGAACAATAATAATAGATTAGAAATTGTATTTTACATAAAATTGAAATCATTAAATATAACAGAATTAGCAGTAAAAAGGATAAAATATTTTACATGTTGTGAAGTTGTTCAAAAAGGCCTAATTAAAAATTAATTAAAGAAAATAAATATTTAAATTAATTCATGAAAACTTATAAATAAAAGTCATCTACTTTTACACTAAAGGTTTTACTAATTAAAAAGTTCATTTAATTAATTTTAATTTTAAATTTTATTTTTTATTTCAAACATAAGGATATTTTATTTATTAATTTCATTTGATAATATTTTTTATCGATATTTTGCGATTAATCATTATTTACTTCTTCTTTTAATATTAATTTAAAAAATAGGTTGATTTGTCTGCACAGTTTTAATCTTTTTTAACATATTTAATTAAATGGCCTTTTATATTTTATAAACGATTTAAACTAACTTAACGCCTTTTTCTTTTAATAAAATCCATATTTTTAGGTTTAATTATATATTTCAGCATTTTAAAGTTTAGACAAATTGATTTGAGGTTATATTAAATTTTCATAGATATTATTTACAGAATAGCGTTAGCTTATTTTTAAAAATGTAATTTACAAAAATTACTTATAATTAAATCCTGTATATTTTTGCTGTAAATATAAATCATAAATTTTAAATAAATTGTGAGTAATTGAAAAAATAATATATTCATTATTTCTTTAAAATATAGGATTATATTAATTACTAATTTATGAATATCATTTTTAAGTATAAATGAATATATATATAATTTAATTATTTGTTGTATTAATAATTATTTAAATATTAACCAATTTATATAAATTTTTTATTAAAAAAAATATTATTTAAATATGTATAGAAATTTAAAATAATTAATTATACTAAAAAAAATTTTAAATTATTTATATAAGATTAAATAAATATTAAATTAATAAATAAATAAATATAAATATAAATACAAATATTATTTTAAATTAAATGTTCTTTAATATAAGTTTTTTTTATTTATTTACATAATTGATTTATTATTTGATTTAGAAATTAATATTTTCTTAATAAATATTTATTAATATATTATTATTTATTAAATAATAATTTATTATTAATTTTTTCTATCAAATCTTAATGTAGATGCCATTTAATTGAGAAATTTATTAAATATTTGATTTAATGTTAGTTATGTTTATAAAAAATATTTGAAAGAGTCTTTTTATTAATAAAAAAAGGTTTACAAATTCTGAATCTCGTTTAAAATATTAATATATAATTATATAAATTAAGTATTTGAATCTAATTAAAGAATATTTTTATGATTAATAATATCTTCAATAATCATATTATACTAAATTACTTTATTTTCATTTTATTATTTTTATTTAGTTTATACAAACCAACTATTAATAAATTTATAATATGAAGAACTGTCTTAATCATATTAGCTTACTGTAATTTATTATGTTATATTTCTTATTCCTCCTTTTGAATCTTATATTACCCCCATAATTAAAGAAACACCAAAAGGAAGAACAGTTTCAATATTATTTTTTAGTGAGAAATCAGATAATAAATTTCTATTAATATGTTATTAAGCATTCAATATTTCATTATCATATTATTCTTAATTTTTATAAAAATAGAAAGAATAAGATAGAGGTTAATCGGTATCAATACATCATTTATTTAAAGAGTTATTTTGTCTTAAAGATTTCTAACTTTATAATCTGTAGTTTAATCAAAAATACACTATTAAGGAGGTATATTAGCATATAAAGTATAAGATATTAATGTAGGTACTACATAATTTATGTTTCTAATTGAAAATTTTAATTCAAATTGATTTTATTTTTCATCTAAAAAGTCAAAAAATAATTCCCAGACTTATAATATAAATTAATTTTAACCTAATATTATTATATTCTTTTTATAATTTTAATAAAAAATAAATCCTGTAATTATTAAGTTATCAATATTAATAACCTATTCAAAATCAAACTAAATAAATATTTCTTAATTTAAATTGATTCTATTTTAAGAGTTGTTGATAGAAATATTAGATTAAACAAAAGGTACCTCATAATCAATTATAGATATTATAATTTAATCAAAAATAGTTATTCCATCTTTTGTTCCTGAAAGTATAAATTAATATTATTAAAAAGGTTCTAACATTTTTTATTATATGGTAATTTATAGATTTTATGTTACATTAGAAATAATTAAATTATTTTATGAATCTCTACAATCATCACCAATAATTAGATTTATGCATTACCATTTTAAATTTATTCCATAATTAGTTTCTTTTAATGAAATTTTTTCATTAGGGGATAAATTAGGATCATCTACTTTTCCTTCGAGATTAAAACTTTAAGAAAATTATTATTATCTATTTCCTCCTAAAATTTAAACCGAATGAACATCAGAAAGAACCTATATTGGGAATACTATTTATTCGGTAATAGTAGGATTAGATTTTAAAGAAACAGTAATTTATATATTATATGTTGTGTTTACTTTCATAATAAAAGGCTAAATTTAAAATTAAAATTATTTTTCTTAAAGTATTTATGTGGAATTAATGTTTAATTATTCAGTTAAATTGTCTTTTTATTTGATTTATACTTGATATGCATCTGTTTATTTATAAGATGTTTCTCCATCATCTTGACATTAATAAAGATTGAAATAAACATTTATATTCACTAAATTGCTTCTTTATATTTAATTTGGATTTGTTTTTACTCTTATATAAATTGATGTATCTGGTAAGGTTTAGATTATTATATTGGCAGTACCTATTTGGTTAAAATAGGAAATTACATCTACTTAGAACTAGTATTATCCTTGTTTTTTCAATTATAAAGGCTATAATTATAAAAATAATTAGTTATTTTATTATTAGATTTACGTATTTATTTAAGCTATTTCATCCGCCGTATATGCATTAGAAGAAATGAGTGACCAAGTAATTTATTTTAATTCTTTATTACCATGATTAGAAATACTTGACATTATTATTTATGCTTATTAACATATAGAAATAGGGGTTATTTAACTTAATTTTATAATTAAATTTGTGTCTAAAGTTACTTTGCCAGTTATTTATTAAAGAAAATCATTACAAGCAAATCCATTATTTTTTAGTTTGAATACCCCAGGTTTTATTTTGACTATATCATCCTTATTAATAGTACTTAAAGTATCGAGTTTAATTGTAAGTGTTTTTTAAGATTAGTTAAAAGAACATAAAATTTTTCCTTATAATTTAGAAGTAATGAAGTTTAATCTAAAGTTTCTATACAAAGCTAATAAGTAAATTATAATTATTAAGAATAACTCTAGAATTATGAATAAGAAATTAAAAGTTAAATTTATAAATCAGTATAATAATAATCAAAATCTATAATTAAAGTCAATAAATCATCACTAAAATATATTTTAATCATTATATTTAAGCATGAATCACATTATTTATTTTAGTTTAATTAAAAATATTAAGGGGCTATGCATGTAAGACATTCCGTTGCACTGCATGTAGCACATCCAGTTGAAAAAGTAGAACATATAATACAGGCTTAATCGAAGCCATTAGGATCATAGGAATATTAAGGACAAATACATTATTAAGAAACTCTATTCTCAAAGCAAGAATCACAATTAATCGCATCAGAACAACTTGCACATCTATTTTTGCAATCATCACAAGTTCTAGATAATGCATTTTCAAATTTTCTTCCTGGGCATGAATTAATGCATTAAGAATCATTATAAAAAAATCCAGGATCGCATAAATCACATGAAG